TACAGAATAGAACTAACACTGTGCAGATTAGAACTAACACTCTACAGAATAGAACTAACACTGTGCAGATTAGAACTAACACTCTACAGAATAGAACTAACACTGTGCAGATTAGAACTAACACTCTACAGAATAGAACTAACACTGTGCAGATTAGAACTAACACTCTACAGAATAGAACTAACACTGTGCAGATTAGAACTAACACTCTACAGAATAGAACTAACACTGTGCAGATTAGAACTAACACTCTACAGAATAGAACTAACACTGTGCAGATTAGAACTAACACTCTACAGAATAGAACTAACACTGTGCAGATTAGAACTAACACTCTACAGAATAGAACTAACACTGTGCAGATTAGAACTAACACTCTACAGAATAGAACTAACACTGTGCAGATTAGAACTAACACTCTACAGAATAGAACTAACACTGTGCAGATTAGAACTAACACTCTACAGAATAGAACTAACACTGTGCAGATTAGAACTAACACTCTACAGAATAGAACTAACACTGTGCAGATTAGAACTAACACTCTACAGAATAGAACTAACACTGTGCAGATTAGAACTAACACTCTACAGAATAGAACTAACACTGTGCAGATTAGAACTAACACTCTACAGAATAGAACTAACACTGTGCAGATTAGAACTAACACTCTACAGAATAGAACTAACACTGTGCAGATTAGAACTAACACTCTACAGAATAGAACTAACACTGTGCAGATTAGAACTAACACTCTACAGAATAGAACTAACACTGTGCAGATTAGAACTAACACTCTACAGAATAGAACTAACACTGTGCAGATTAGAACTAACACTCTACAGAATAGAACTAACACTGTGCAGATTAGAACTAACACTCTACAGAATAGAACTAACACTGTGCAGATTAGAACTAACACTCTACAGAATAGAACTAACACTGTGCAGATTAGAACTAACACTCTACAGAATAGAACTAACACTGTGCAGATTAGAACTAACACTCTACAGAATAGAACTAACACTGTGCAGATTAGAACTAACACTCTACAGAATAGAACTAACACTGTGCAGATTAGAACTAACACTCTACAGAATAGAACTAACACTGTGCAGATTAGAACTAACACTCTACAGAATAGAACTAACACTGTGCAGATTAGAACTAACACTCTACAGAATAGAACTAACACTGTGCAGATTAGAACTAACACTCTACAGAATAGAACTAACACTGTGCAGATTAGAACTAACACTCTACAGAATAGAACTAACACTGTGCAGATTAGAACTAACACTCTACAGAATAGAACTAACACTGTGCAGATTAGAACTAACACTCTACAGAATAGAACTAACACTGTGCAGATTAGAACTAACACTCTACAGAATAGAACTAACACTGTGCAGATTAGAACTAACACTCTACAGAATAGAACTAACACTGTGCAGATTAGAACTAACACTCTACAGAATAGAACTAACACTGTGCAGATTAGAACTAACACTCTACAGAATAGAACTAACACTGTGCAGATTAGAACTAACACTCTACAGAATAGAACTAACACTGTGCAGATTAGAACTAACACTCTACAGAATAGAACTAACACTGTGCAGATTAGAACTAACACTCTACAGAATAGAACTAACACTGTGCAGATTAGAACTAACACTCTACAGAATAGAACTAACACTGTGCAGATTAGAACTAACACTCTACAGAATAGAACTAACACTGTGCAGATTAGAACTAACACTCTACAGAATAGAACTAACACTGTGCAGATTAGAACTAACACTCTACAGAATAGAACTAACACTGTGCAGATTAGAACTAACACTCTACAGAATAGAACTAACACTGTAAAATTAGAACTAATTTGTTATAAATTAGAACTAACTTGTTATAAAATAGAACTAGCTTGGTATAAATTAGAACTAATGTGGTTTAAATTAGAACTAACTTGTTATAAAATAGAACTAACTTGATATAAATTAGAACTAACTTGGTATAAATTAGAACTAACATGGTATAAAATAGAACTAACTTGGTATAAATTAGAACAAACTTGGTTAAAATTTTAGAACTAACTTGTTATAAAATAGAACTAACTTGGTATAAATGAGATATAACATGGTATAAATTAGGTTTATAACGTGGTTTAAATTAGAACTAACATAAATTAGATATAACGTGGTATAAATTAGATATAACGTGTAATAAAATAGAACTAACAAGCCATCACACGCTACAGACTTGAACTAACACTGTGCAGAATAGAACTAACACTGTGCAGATTAGAACTAACACTCTACAGAATAGAACTAACACTGTGCAGATTAGAACTAACACTCTACAGAATAGAACTAACACTGTGCAGATTAGAACTAACACTCTACAGAATAGAACTAACACTGTGCAGATTAGAACTAACACTCTACAGAATAGAACTAACACTGTGCAGATTAGAACTAACACTCTACAGAATAGAACTAACACTGTGCAGATTAGAACTAACACTCTACAGAATAGAACTAACACTGTGCAGATTAGAACTAACACTCTACAGAATAGAACTAACACTGTGCAGATTAGAACTAACACTCTACAGAATAGAACTAACACTGTGCAGATTAGAACTAACACTCTACAGAATAGAACTAACACTGTGCAGATTAGAACTAACACTCTACAGAATAGAACTAACACTGTGCAGATTAGAACTAACACTCTACAGAATAGAACTAACACAGTGTTAGTTCTATTCTGTAGAGTGTTAGTTCTATTCTGCAGCGTGTTAGTTCTAATCTGTCTGTAGCGTGTGAGTTCTAATCTGCAGATTAGAACTAACACTCTACAGAACGGAACTAACACTGTGCAGATTAGAACTAACACGCTACAGAATAGAACTAACATAGAATAAGTTAGAACTAACAATGCATAGGTACGAATTAGAATGAAACAAGATCAGTAAAATATGGAACTTACACACAATAGTGTCATGCAACCTGGGACATATGCGACCTTTTGCTTCTTCTTTCCCTCCAAAGCAACTCCAATGCCCCTGATAATTTCATTATAAAAGAACGGGGCCCATGCAACAGAATTGACCCTCTGAATGCTATCCAGGTATCTGAGTAAGGGTCTAGGGATACCTTCCCCTGCTATGGGACTCCATATCATAGAGCATTGGTACAAAATTTGTAGCAGAGCAAAATCCTCGATATCCCGCTTTTTGGTAGATTCAACAAGCCGTTCAAGTAGCCCTTCAAGATGTTTACGTTGGCTGGTTTCTGATTTTTTTAACTTCTTACCCTCTTCAGAAATGAAAAGCTTAGCGAAGTATTCCAGCCATATTCTGCTTCTTGAGTCCCTATTGTTCCTTATGTCCTCCCCATAAATTGGGAAATAAGTATGGTTGTGGACCCATTGCAAATCAAAACTAACATTTTTCATACCCCCACTTTTTGAATCAGGTATACAAAAGGTGTTATTATCTCTATCGAAAAAGCTCAGCAGCAGCTCAAGGGTGGGCCGATCAGCCGCAGGAGCCCCAAACAAAATGTAGTGCTGAAATATAGAACCGCAGTATGCATCCCTATGCCACTGACGGATCTTCGGGGCAAGGCGCTTCATAAATGCCCAATAAGCCCCGATATTGGCCGTTAACCTTAGTGTTTCTGCTGAGCCTGTTAGAGCAATTTTTTTCCTGCAAAAAATTTTCGAATTTGTACGTTCAATAAGACATATGAAACAATATTAGACCTAGCACTAACGGGAACAAAATAGAGCTAACACGTAATATTATAGAACTAACATTGGACTCATATTAGAACTAACATTGGACTTAAACTAGATCTAACGTTGGTATAAATTTAGAACTAACATTGGACAAAGCCTAGAACTAACAATATTGGGTTAATCTGCATTGTCTCTTCGCAGTATAACATAAGCCTAGAACTAACAATATTGGGTTAATCTGCATTGTCTGTTCGCAGTATAACATAACACTTACTGTTTTTTTGAGGGGGGTTCGTTGGTACGACCAGCCATTGTCGTCCTCCTTTTCTGGTCTCGCCATTGTAATGCCTCCTTTTGCATTTCGATTAGGGTTTTCGTAGCTTCCGTAGCTTCCTCCGTGCTGCCACCCGCAGATGAAGCGCCTTTTCCTTCCAACTCGGCTCGGTGCCCGACCTCGTAGTCGTTACTGGATTTTTCCGTAGACGACGACATTTTTCCGGCGAAAACCCTAGAAACGTTGAAATTCGTACAGAAATTAGGAAGATGAAGAGTTCTTGATGACGGTGCTAGGTGGAAGAGAGAGAAAGAGAGGGAGAGTACTTGTAAAGGTGAGGGGCACATTAACCCAGCTCAGTCCCATCAGAGGGCAAGATAGTAACTTCCGCTGGGCTTTTTCTGAAAAGAGTCAATTCGGGGCCTCGTCGCAAATACTATGCGTATTTGGGGCTATTCCACATGGGGCAAAGTACAGGGGGGCTAGTCACACGAAGTTCCCACTTTTGGGGCCTGGACACATTTTTCCCAAAAAAATATTGATGTTGTGTAAATTGTTAAATGATAATACACGCATGCACAATATATGTAGCATGTGAATAGATAAACAATATTGATATCATAGAAATTCATCATGTCCTTTACGCCGTTTCCATGCAACATAGCCTAGCAACCAGACATTCTCTTTCTATCATAATGTATTTATTGATACATTGCATCCTTGTTCAACTAGAAATCACAAATGGGAACCTCGTTGAACTAGAAATCAGAAATAGATGTCTTGTTGAATTAGAAATAACAAATAGTATTCTTGTTCTACAAGGAATCCCAAATAGAATCCTAGTTTAATACTAGAAATCACAATAGAAGTGACTTCCTAGAGTTTAATTCAAGGCACAAATCTCTACGTTTACCGTTAAGTGCATTCTCTAGGAAAGCATATATCTTAACACTTCATATTGCTTTCCTTTAACAGGGAGCATGCATACCCAAGGCCATTAGCTTTGGCTGCATCTCAGGTTTTTCTGGCAATGGGCCACTTCTTCTTCACTATGGCTTCGCCTAGAACAACGTACGTTGGAACACTGCTTATCGGGCTTAGATATAGAGCTCACTGGTTAATTTCACCCGCTGCCGCCTCTGAGCTCTTTGGCCCAAAGAGCTTTGGTTCCTTGCTTAATTTTCTTGACGTAGTAACTCCAGCAGGCTCTCTAATATTCTCTATTGTTATCGTTAGTGCTACATGTTGGAAATGGGTGTAGACCCAAACCTCGTCGGCGGTGAGCTCCGACGAGGTCAAGCAGCGGAGGTGAGCTCAGACGAGCTTGAGATCGGAGTCACTGGCTGCAGGCGATGCTCTCTTAGCGAACTCGAGGTCGGCGGCCTCGTGCGGGTGAAGTCCAGAACTGGCGAGGGTGAGACCCTCTGCTGGCAAGTTTTAGGGCTTCAGGCGAGGCCCTTTATGATGGCGAGATCAAAGTTGTTTTGAGTACAGGCGGATTTGATAGAGGACAGGTGAGCTTGGGTTTGAGCAATGTCAGGCGAGCTCGAACAGGTGTGAAGATTGCCTATGTGTGGAGAGGGACTCTCGCCTGCTGTGGACGTGGAGGCGAAGGCGAAGTTCGCCTGCGTGCTGTGTTGGATCCAGCTGGATCTCACTCCCCTTTTGCCCTAGGGTTTCCCTATTTAAGGGAACCCTGTGCACGAGAAAAAGTTGCAGCCCTGATTTCTTCTTCTTCAGAGCGTAAACTTCTTAGCGGCGACTATTAAATTAAGCTCGAGATTTTCAGAGGAAAATCTCGTTCATTTAATCACAGTCCTGTAGCATTTATTGAGGAGAGTGAGAGGAGTTTTTCCTGTGGAAAAAAACTCGCGCCCTTATTTTGAATAACAGATAGTTTTTTCTGTTGATTCTTTCTTGAGAGATCTCAAGTTAAGATCTGCTCTTATACAAGTTTTGTAATCTTCTTTAACATAAATGAAATTATTTGTGTGGCTCCCGAGGATGTAGACAAGTTGCCGAACCTCGTTAAAACTCGATGTTCTCTATTCTTGCAATTATTTTTTGATTTACTGTGATTTTTTTTATTGCTTAACACAAGATCCGGTAAGGTAAATTCCGCAGAGGATTCATATTTGACAGGTGGTCGAATAGCTAAGGAACAGTTGTACCAACGTTTGGTAGCTTGAATCCCCAATAACGGGTGTCAGAGCGTATCTGATATTTGCCTAACAACTGGTATCAGAGCCCTTGTTCAGATCTGTGTATGTAAGAAATGGCAGAAGAAGACAAATCAAAAATTGAGAAGTTTGACATATCAGACCTCGCCTACTGGAAGTCACAGATGGAGGAATATCTGTACCAGAAGGATCTTTACCGTTCGTTGATGGGTAAAGCAAAAGGACAGAAGAAAGAAGAATCCAACGAGGACTGGGAAATATTAGATCGAAAAGCCTTGGGGCAGGTCCGATTGGCCCTCACAAAATCTATAGCACACAATATATTAAAGGAGAAGACGACGATGAGGCTTATGGAAGCGCTCGCAACGATGTACGAGCAACCATCAGCTACAAATAAGGTGTATCTTGTCAAGACACTATTCAACCTCAAGATGGCAGAAGGATATTCCTTTACGATGCATCTCAGCGATTTCAACACGATTGTTGATCAACTCGTCTCAGTCAACATCACGTTTGATGGCGAAGTGCAAACCCTATTAATACTATCGCAGTTGTCGGATAGTTGGGCAGGTTACGTGACCGCAAACAACAACTTGACAGGGAAGGAGAAGTTGAAGCTGAAGGAGGTAGTAGCTATGATTCTATCCGAGGAGGTTAGAAGAAAATCGAATGAATCAGAAGGTTCAGGTTCAGCCCTAAGTATCAAGCAGAGATGCAGAAGCCATAATAAGGGGAACCAAAACAAGAATCGATCAAAGTCGAAGAAGAAGAGGTCAAACTCGAAGGTGAGACCTATCAAAGGGAAATGTTGGAACTGTGGCTAGAAGGACCACATGTCTTCTACCTGTAAAGCACCAAAGAAAAATGAGTAGGAGGCACATATTGTGTAAGATGCGTTGATTCTCGCTATGGATAGCGATTCTGATTCATGGGTTATTGATTCGGGAGCCTCATTTCACGCCACTGCTAATATAAGGCTATTTCAGAACTATGTAGCAGGGGATTTTGGGAAAGTAAACTTAGGGGATAATGAACCCTATAGTGTCATTAGAAGAGGCGATGTGCAAATACAGTTGAAGGGCTCTAAGTGGTCTCTGAAGAACATCAGACATGTACCGAAGTTGAAGAGGAATCTTATTTCGGTTGGTCAGCTTGGAGCAGAAGGCTATGTAACAACATTCACCGAAGATTCGTGGAAAATCTCCAACGGTACAATGGTGGTTGCCCGTGGCAACAAGACCGGTACCCTCTACCTAACTTCACACGCGAGTGACACCCTCGCGATTGCTGCAGGCAAGGAGAGTGCAAATCTGTGGCACAACAGGATGGGACACATGAGTGAGAAGGGTATGAAGATTCTACACTCAGAAGGGAAACTAACCGGCATCGATTCGGTAGAAGTTGGTGTTTGCGAAGATTGCATCTTCGGGAAGCAGAAGAGAGTTAGTTTTCTGAAGGGTGAAAGACTGCCTAAAGCTCACAAGCTAGAGCTTGTTCATACAGATGTATGTGGTCCAGCTAGCGTGTCTTCTCTTGGCGGTTCGGCGTACTACGTCACATTTATCCACGATAACTCGATGAAGGTGTGGGTATACTTCATGAAGCACAAGTCAGAGGTGTTCAACATCTTCAAGAAGTGGAAAGCCATGGTGGAGAATGAAACAGATCTAAAAGTAAAGTGTCTGAGATCAAGAAGTTCTGTGCTCTGAACAGGATTCGTTTGGAGATGACTACTCCAGGGACGCCGCAATAGAACGACGTAGCAGAAAGAATGAACAGAAAGCTGACAGAGCGTGCGAGGAGCATGCGTCTACATGCAGGTCTACCTAAAACTCTTTGGGCGGACGCGGTGCATACAGAAGCATACCTGATAAATCATGGGCCATCAGTTCCATTGAACTTTAGGATTCCGGAAAAGGTTTGGAGTGGCAATAAGGTTAATCTCTCACACTTGAGAGTCTTTGGTTTTGTGGCATATGTCCATATCAGTGACCATATCAGGGACAAGCTAGAAGCTAAGTCACTGAAGTGTACATTCATTAGATACGGTATTGATGAGTTCGGGTATCGTTTGTGGGATGAGAAGAACAGGAAGATCATCAGAAGCCGAGATGTCATATTCAATAAGGAAGTGATGTACAAGAACAGGGACAATGCTAAGACAAGCCAAAGTAGTGGGAGTAGCACTACGAATGCGGGCGCATCCGAGTACATGAATTTAGAGGAACTTCCAGATGGGGGAGATAACGTTAATTCTGACCGAAGAACGGAGGAGACTCCAGGTGCAAAACCGATAACACGGGACGAGGAGCTTAGGAGGTCATCCAGGATACACAAACCGAATCCCAGGTATCTCTCGTCACTAGACTACCTACTTTTGACAGATAGCGGAGAACCAGAATGCTATGAGAAAGCTATGCAAGTGAGCGAATTTCAGCAGTGGAAGCATGCAATGCAAGAAGAGATGGATTCGCTCCACTCGAACGAGACATGGGAGTTAGCCCAGCTACCTGCACAAAAGAAGGCCTTACATAACAAGTGGGTTTACCGAGTCAAGCAGAAGAGTGATGGAAGGAATAGATACAAGGCCAGATTAGTCGTGAAGGGGTTCCAATAGCGGGAATGAGTGGACTATACAGAGATATTTTCTCTCGTTGTGAAGCTCACAACCATCAGGGTGGTGTTGAGCTTGATAGCTGCTAAAAATCTCTACCTTAAGCAGTTAGATATGAAGACTGCCTTTCTTCATGGTGACTTGAATGAAAAAATCTACATGAAGCAACATGTTGGCTTCATTAAGGAAGAAAAGGAAGAGATGGTGTGTAGGCTCAAGAAGAGCTTATACGGATTGAAACAGGCTCTACGGCAGTGGTATAAGAAGTTCGATAACTTCATGTAGAGCAATGGCTATGGCAGATGTAATTCAAATCATTGATGTTACTTCAAGAGGTTCGAGACCAGCTATATCGTATTATTGTTGTATGTTGATGACATGTTAGTTGCAGGACCGTGTTTACAGGAGATAAACAAGCTGAAGAAGCAGTTAGCAAAGGAGTTTGCCATGAAGGATCTGGGTGCAGCGAAATAGATTCTTGGGATGCAGATCAGCCAGGATGCGACTGAAGGGACGTTGAAGTTGAGTCAGTCTGAATACATTAAGAAAGTACTTCAGAGATTCAACATGCAAAATGCTAAGGTCGTTAGCACACCCCTTGGAAGCTAGTTTAAGTTGTCTGGTGAACAATCACCCAAGACTGATGCAGAGAAGGAGCACATGAGGAAGGTGTTCGCGGGAAAAATCGTGTCTTTCTTCATTGATTCCATTGCACTCTTAAATAACAACTTTTTGAGTTACAAAGATCCGGTCTTTTTATAAGATCCGGTTACAATGAAAATCAAAGAAAATAAAAGAAAGATTAAAACTTTTTATCCTTGTTTGTCGAACAAATCACGAGCTCCTGTTTTACGGTCACTCGCTTTGTGGGTTCTTCGCCTGCGCCGGGGTTTATCCGTGGACCACCGCGCGATCTAGATCCGGTCGGATCTACGCAGTACGACGGGTATTATTTCACGAAGGAAATAATAGCCGGGGGGGATTGGTTCACCAAGGAAACAATCGCCCAAATCTCGGGATCAAAGACCAAGCTTTGATCCGGAGTGTGCCTGCGTAGATCTGAGATCCGGTCCTCTCGAACTATTGCCTTATTTGGCGTTGACGATCACCGAGCACCAGATCTGGATGAGCAAGTCCTCGAAGTCCTAAAGTATGAATCTTTTTTAGATCTGAGTCTTCAATCCAGCAGGGCTTCGCCTCCAAAAAATCCAACCTTTTTAAATGAGCAAAGGGGAGCCTATTTATAGGCTCTCTGAACTGTGCCCGCGCACAGATCCGGGTCGGCCACCCATGGGTGGCCGGCACTGGGCCGAGCCACCTGTTTGCGTCAACAATTATTGTATTCATTGCGGTATTCATTACAACTTCGGTCGTTACAATGAAAACAAAAAAAAGATAATCTTTTTATAAGATCTTTACACAATGAAAACAAAAGTTACAACTTTCGTCAAAACAAACGCAGAGATC